TCAGCCGGTGCCCAACTAGTGTTTACACACAGGGTGGGGCCTGTGCCTCCAGCTCTGAGCTCTTTGCTCTCAGGGGAGCTGGTCCTGGGCAGGCCACAGAGGATGGTGAAACCACTGTCTCCTGCAGGCCCAGAGACCACAGTGTGGGGAAAATTCTGGGAAAGAGTACCCCCACCTACAAAAGTGGTCAAATGGTCAGGGAAGGCTGTGAGGACCCAGAAGGAAGAAGTTTAAAAGAGGAAGAGGTGGCCTCTATCACCTTTATCAGACACCTGCCCATAGGAAGGCCCCTGGACAGAAAAGGAACCGGAGCTCAAAGGAACAAATGAAGGCACTTGTCCATGGCCTCCTGGCTCCAGTCAGCCATGCTGAGACTGATGCGGACTCCAAGGCTGGATCCTGATACCACACCGGAGAGTGGCGTCTTGTGGTGCTGTCATGAGAGAGACTCAGTCTGCAGCAAGGCTGGGGACATTTGGAGACAGCCTTCCAGGAGGTGGGTGTCTGGGAATGAGACACTCGAGGGTGTCTGTCTTTTCCTGAGTTTGCAGAGAACAAGACTTTCAGGGTCCACAGCCGACTCTCCAGGAAGAATTCCCCAGGACTGAGAGGGGATGAGAGTAGCTGACCCAATACTGGGCCTACCTGACCTGCCAAGTCCTCTGCCCTTCTGACATCTGACATGCACCCCAGAGACAGACCAGGCCTCCCTGAGGCAGACTGGGTCTCACCTGCTTGCCTTAAATGCCAGTACCCATGGACTGACTACCCATGCGGAGCCACAGGCTGAGTGTCACAATAAGTCCTCCTGGGCAGCCTGCATTTTTTAAATTTTATTTTATTTTGTCTTTTGAGGCAGGGTTTCTCTGTGTAGCCCTGGCTGTCCTGGAACTTGCTTTGTAGATCAGTCTGGCCTTGAACTCAGATATTTACCTGCTTCTGCCTCAGAGTGCTGGGATTAAAGTTGTGTGCCACCACTGCCTAGATTGTGGCATCTCTTACATTAAATTGGTTAAAATTCTGTCTCTGCTACCCTCAGTCTGTGTGAACTTAGGGAGGCTCCTTAACATCCCCAAAGCTTGATGTCTTTATAAAACTGGGATGTGACTTCCTTTTGTGACTCGCCGCCAAGGAGGAACAACCGCCCTGAAGGCCTCGAGCATGCTTCGAGAGTACAAGGTGGTGGGGCGCTGCTTGCCCATCCCGAAAGTGCCACACACCACCACTATACCGAATGGGCATCTTCTCACCCAACCATGTGGTGGCCAAGTCCCACTTCTGGTATTTCGTGTGGCAGCTGAAGAAGATGAAGAAGTCGTCTGGGGAGATACTGTATTGTGGACAGGTGTCTAGAAATCACCACCGCGTGTGAAGAACTTCGGCATCTGGCTGTGCTATGGCTCCTGCAGTGATACACACTACATGTACGAGAGTACCGGGACCTGACCACTGCTGGCGCTGTCACACAGTGCTACCAAGACATGGGTGCCCGACACTGTACCCGTGCACACTCCATCCAGATTATGAAGGTGGAATAGACTGCAGCGGGCAAGTGCGGATGGCCGTCCGGCCGTCAAGCAGTTCCGCGTCTCCAAGTTCCCGTTGCCCCGCCCCACCGTGTGTTGCTGTGCCAGCACAAGCCATGCTTCACCAGAAAGAGGCCTAACACCTTCTTCTAGACCCAGAGACCCACTGAATAAAACTCAAGAGTCCTGCCTGGAAAACAAAAACAAAAACAAAAAACAGAACAACAACAACAAATCTGGGATGCACCAGGTGGTGGTGGAGGCAGAGAGAGACAGGTGGATCTCTGTGAGTTCGAGGCCAGCCTGGTCTGAAAAGTGAGTTCCAGGACAGCCAGTACTGTTACACAGGAACCCTGTCTCAAAAACTGAAAATTAATAAATTAATTAAAAAAACAAAACACCCCCACCCCCACCCCATGCTGCTGTTAACAGCGGCAGCAAAGGATCATGTCTCGCTTAAACATGATAATGTGTCAGAAGTGACTATGCATGTTGCACTCACCAGGCAAACAGCAGCGACGTGAGGTAAGGGCACCTGAAGCTGGTGGTGTCTCTCCTCAGGCCCCCTCCTGCCTTAGATACAGTCTTTGGCCTAAAGTGGTAGAGAAGCCACAAAGCCTCTGCCTCCTTCCCGGGTTGCTGAGCACTGATGGGGACATGGCAGCAGCTGGTAAGCAACAAGAGAGAGAGAATAGTGGAAGATGAGTGGAGGGAGAAGTATAGCTGAGCCTGAGATGCCAGGGAAATGGAACCAGTCCTTGGGGTGGAGAGACCAGCATGTGGGCCTAGACTCATACATCCCAAATCTTTGCACTTCCAGCTTCAATGGCCACATATTGGGCTCCCTTCCCCCCTTGTCCCTGCTGCCTGAATATTCTCATTGGTGGCTGGTCCCATTAACTGACTATTTCATGCCAGGCAATGTGCTTAGTGTTATCTTAAATCACCACCATGGCAATCTTTTCCATAGTTTGATGAAGACACTGAAGTACCAAGAGACTATGTTATTTTCTGATGCTACGTATATGAAGTAACCCTGCTGGGATTCTTACTAAGGCTAGGAGAATGTGAGTGGCCGTAAAACCCAATGAATAGGAAGGCATCTGGACTCTCCTATTGCCAAGATTCAGGTATGGAACACCTTGGGGTCTGGCAGCCACCACCATGACCACCTGCCTTGGCACCCATGGGGTACTGTGGTGGCCTAGTTGCAGAATGAGGGCCTAGTCACCCTCATTTGTGGTGTTTACCTAGCACTTTGCCCTGTGAGGTTCTGCCCAGATCCAGCAGGGATAGGAAGCAACCCCCCTGACTATCTCCTTCTAATCTGGGACAGGCAAGGTCCAGTTAGGGCACAAGAGTCCAGGTTCAATGAAAGAAATGGTTGACAAGTTAAAAGGAAGTGAAGGCCTGAGGGGAGTGGGCAGGCAGGCTATGAACAGCTGTGAACACCACCTCTACCCCTCAGGCTGCATAAAGAGAAGAGGTGGTAGCCCAAGAGCTCAATACTAGGGGCTACCACAAAGAGCAGTTATTGCCAGAGATGCAGGGGATTGGGAAAAATACCAGACTGCTCACCTTCCTGCTCCCATCTTCCTCCAGCACCTTCTGTGGAGTAATTCCAGTCAGAAATCAGTGGGCAAGGAGCTCTGAGGTGTGAAGATTGCCCCCAAGGTGTTGAGTAGAGAGAGGCAGGGATGAGTGTGATCAACAAAGCACAGGACTAGGGCCAAGACCTTGCTATGGCTGCCTTCTGTCCCCATTACCACCTGCACCTGCCAAGAGCTTGCTTTAGGCAGAATCCCACTGTCCATGGCTATATTTCCCCTAGGAAAAGAACCTTTGCCCACCCCTGGACTGTGCCTTCATCTTCTGCCTTCCTCTGTATGTAGTTCTGTCCGCAGGCTGGGAGCTGTTTCCAGGCTCAGCAGTGTCCGGTGAGAGAGAGAGAAGGGTGTTCCCTGAAGCTCTCCCATAAACACAAGAACATTCTCCCTGGAAGCTCTCACTGTACTTCCCTTCTGTTTACTGGACCTAACTAGCTCCCATGCTCGGTCCTGAGCCCATTCCTCAGAGCTGGAGGGCCAGGCGTTTACAGAGTATTGGAAAAGCTGCCTCTGAATACAGAAGTGCAAGCAAAACAGAAAAGATGTCTGCCTCGTGTAAGAGTTTAGATAAAAACAGTCCAAAACTGATGGGAGGCTTGGCCATCATCTGCAACAAGTTTCCCTTTTTAGCTCTGAGGAGATAAATTCAATTTCTGTCACCTCCTAGTCAGGGAGAAAAACAAGAGAAGGGTTTGGGAAGCAGCATACATTCCCTTTGAGGACACAACTTAGAAACAATACAATTATTTCCACTCACTTTACATTTGTGAGAACTTAGACACATGGCCACGTTCAGCTGCAAGGGAGGCTGGGAAATGTAGTTTTCACCAAAACAGTCATCTGCTCAGTCAAAAATCAGTTTTATTCTTTTTTAAATTTAATTTTATGTGCATGAGTGTTTTGCCTGCCTGCGTGCGTGCGTGCATGTGTGTGTGTGTGTGTGTGTGTGTGTGTGTGTGTGTATACACACCTTGTACCAAAGAAGGCCAGAAGAGAGTGTCATATTCCCTAGAAGTGGAGTCATATTCAGTTGCAAGTTGCCACAAGGGTGCTAGAAACTGAGCCCAGGTCCTCTGGAAGAGTGGCCAGTGCTCTAAGCACTGAGCAGTATCTATAGACCCCAGTTTTATTCTTAAAGAGGGGAGGATAAATATTTGTGGATCTAGGAAGTCTTTGTCGCATACTAACTCAGGCCTGAGTTCCCCGGTCAAGGCTTTGATAGGATTGTGAGCCCATTCTTGAGTTACATGAAGGGTCATTTCTATAGAGGCTCAGGGGTCTGTCTGCTTGCCACAACAGCTTAACTGCTACTTGAAATTATACACTGAGCTTTGCATTTCCTCGGCTCCCTGAGGAAGCCGAAAGGAGAAGTAATCACTGGACAGTCGGTCACCTAGCACAGTTTACTTCATTACCTGCCTTTGAGGTCCTCAGACCCTGAAGGAAGGGACAGATTTAAACAGCTAATTGTGGGCCAACAGGACAAATGGTCACATAGCGTCGATATAAGAGTAATATAATGCCCAATAAAAGCATGGAAAACTGAGAGAAGATCTTGCTGAGAGTGTCTTTCAGCTGGCTCTTAATTGTTGGTGAGAATTTCACAAGTGCTTGGTCGGGAAGGGTATTTGGACAAAGAGAGCAGAAAACTGTGGAGGTGTGGAGGCTCTCAGGGTGTGACTAGTGGCCTTGTGTAGCCAGCCAGAGTACAGCAAGTTAGAGGCCTGTTGGCATGGGTCAAGGAATGGCACCTGAAAGTCCCAGGAAGAAGGCAAGCTGTGTGACCGGACTTTGTTAGTCAAGAGGGTCAAGACAGGGAGATGTGATCAGATTCTTGTCTTTCTCTGAAGTAGGGACTGGAGAATGACTCGTTAGGAAACTATTTCATGAATCTGAGTGAGTAAGAAGACAGCCTACATCACATCAGGGGTTTGGTGGGAAAGGAGACTGCGAGACAGTTTGCGTTCTCTCGTGGTAGAATGACACAGTTTGGTAACCGGTTGACTGAAGAGGGTTGAATGAGGACGAGGGGGTGGTGGTTGAAAGATGGTTAAATATGATCCTGAGTTTACATGCCTGTGCTAGGAACACAGAAAAAAAGAACACAGGAAATGCATGGGGGATGAGAGAAGATGCCTTCCCACTGTCCCAAACACAGTCTGTTGCAGCCTTCTTTGGATTCTTTAATGTATAGCTGTCTCTCAAGGCATCTGAACTCTATCCCTGTTCTTCAGACTTCCCCTTTGCCCCATCTCCAGCTGGCTAAATCTTCATTTTCTCCAAGAGCCTCGTTTGATTCCCATAATCTGGGTCAGAACCCTTTTCTAGATTCTTGCCTTTCTTTTCCATATGTCTCACTGGAAAGTGACTGCTGTCCCAGAAAGCCTGTCATTTCCCCGAGGGCAGGACCCATGTCTGCCTTATTTCCTGCTCTAGTTGCAGAACTGAGGACATTGCCTAGCACACAGTAGGCACTCACATTGGGCTTGGAGCATCCACAGCTGTACCTGGAAATAAGAGTTCACCGATAGTTCAGATCCAGACCCACGAGGTGAGTGGTTTTGAACCAGTGGCCCACTGGCCATCTTTGATTGTCCTGACTGAGTTTTTGCCTGCTATTGGCATCAAGGGAGGAGTGACCAGAGATGCTACTGAACATCCTTCCAGGCCAGGGCAGTTCCCCACAAAGGGTAACCAGTATTGAAGCTGAGAAGCCTGGCTGGAGAGACAGGCAAGTTAGCTGGCACAGTCAAGTTGCAGTGTGGCCTACTGGCTATGATGGCCCAAGTGAGTAAGAGCAGAAGCATAGTGGCTGTCACAAGAAATATGGACTTGTGATGTGCAGCCAGGAACCACCTTGGATCGAGCCTCAGTCAAAGGGCCCACCTTGGGCGGTTTCCCCTTAACTGAACTCCAGGCCATCAGCCCAGCCGGCCCAGCCTGGCGCTTGCCTCTCTCTGACTCACCCCGTTTGGATTTCTCCCACCCTTTAGTGGAAGGGTACCACTTTCTTCCCACCCCATCTGCCTCGCTGATTATTTTCAGCTTGGCTTGCAGAGGTCCAACGCTGCAATTACTCAGCAACCTCAATGGCTCCTTCTGAAAATAACATTTGGGTGGAAGGAAACCTCAGTCTGGTGGGCTGGATTTTATACGAAATGGTTAAAGCATGGGTGTGGGTATGGGGGTGGGGACAAGGACAAGGGAGTGGCTCAGTGGTACAATTAGGAGAAGAATCTGGAAGAAAGAAAGTGAAGAGGGTGAAGGGGTGATGGTGGTACTAGGCCTCCTGGACAGGGGTCTCCCTCACTCTCCCAGAAGCTGTGTGCCAAGTCTTCATGCATGCTCCTAATTGAAGGTTCTGTTTGCTGTAATAACTTATACCCTCCCCTGATCTCTGAGGCCTGGGAAATCCATGTCTGCCTGGGGCCAGAAGAATTAAGTCTATGGGCATACCAATTTTTATTCAAGCTAGTGACCAAATTTTCCAACCCCAAAATAGGAGACACATGGTTGACATAGGATTTTTGTTCTCTTTCCAGGAGAGAACAGCATTCTGGGATATGTAGTTTCCAGACTGGTAAGTGGAATTTCTGATTGATTATATGGCCAATAGAGGAGAGTAGAGAAGGGCTGGAAGATAAGTTGATGGGTAAAGTGCTGGTTGTACAGGCACGAGGACCTGAGTTTGGCTATCCAGCACCAGTAAAAATCTGGCTGTGTTAGAATGCATTTGTGATCCCAGATCTAGGGGTAAAGATACTGGGGGCTTGTTGGCCAGCCACTCTAGCCAAAATGGTGAACTCCATTTTGTTTCAAAGAAATAAATGAAACGGGAAAGAAAGAAAAAAGAAGGAAGGAAGGAAGGAAAGAAAAGAGAAAAAAGTGGAGAGCAATTGAGCAACTGAGGCAGACACCTGATGTTAACAACCTCTGGCTTCTACATGCACACCCATGTTCATGCAAGCAGCACACCACAGACACACACACACACACACACCACACACACACACACACCACAGACACACACACACACACACACCACACACACACACCACACACACACACACACACACACACACACCACACACACACACACCACAGGTACACACACACACACACACACCACAGGTATACACACACAAGATTTTGGGCAAAATTATAGATTTATGTGGTACATTGATTCAGAGAGGAAAATGAAAAAGCAGATAGAGAATCTTGTCCTAACCCTTGCCAGGTGGAGGGGGTATTTGTAGGGATGAGGTGGGGACAAACTGGAAGTCCCTATGGGATTTCCAAGGAGGTCAGAGTAGGGGAGAAGGCAGTATGAGGTGAATTTTGGAAAGAGGGAATAGTTCTACATATTTGTTAAAAGCTTATTTCTGGAGTTTAATTCCAGACGGTTTAAATCCCTGGGTGGACTTCCAATGGCAGCTAATTGTCTCTGGCTCTCCATTTCCTCACTAAAGTGAGTAGGGTGGGGTTTCCTGTGGCTGTAAAGATGGCTGAGGGGATGGACTCAGCACAGCACCTACTAAGTAAGCAGCTGATGCTTCAGAGCGCTGCAGTGTGAGAGCTCAGGGGAACTGGGGGCTGAGAGACTCCAATGTTTGAATCCTTGCCCCTGTCATCATTTCTGCCTCTTATGTGTCACCAGCCAAAAGCCCGTGGGGATTTCAGAGCCAGCTCACTGGTTTTCTGGAGTCATAATATCTGGGAGCCTCAGACAGGCCAGAGGGTCCTTCTGTGTTCTATGGGGGGTGTTTTTATCCCTCCAGGACTGGGAAGCAAGGGCCTTCCTCTACTCGGGGCTCACTCTGATCACTGGTTCAACATGATTCCTCTTGTTCTGAGAGAGAGAAAGAGAGAAAATAAGAGAGAGAGAGAAAATGAAAGAGAGAGAGAGAGAGAGAGAGAGAGAGAGAGAGAGAGAGAGAGAGAGAGAGAGACTGAAGATACAGAGGCAAGCCAGGCACAGTCTGTGTGCTGGAGGAGCTTTCGGTCCAGTGTGGAAGCAGGTCATTGCAGTACAGTGGTACTAATTGCCATAATCCGAACCGGTGCCAAAGCCCGAGCATGCTAGGAGTGGAGTCCTGTAGCTCACTTCACCTTAGAAGAAAGGAAGCCCATTGAAGAAGAGTCTTCTAGTCCGGCGTTGGTGGCACATGCCTTTAATCTCAGCATTTGGGAGCCAGAGGCAGGAGGATCTCTGTGAGTTTGAGGCCACCCTGGTCTCCAGAGCGAGTTCCAGGACAGGCCCAAAGCAATACAGAGAAATCCTGTCTTGAAAAACAAAACGAAACAACAACAACAACAACAACAACAACAACAACAACAACACACACGCACGCACGCACGCACTCGCGCACACACACACACACACACACACACACACACACACACACACACACACACACACCAAAAAACAAAACAAAAAAAAAGAGTCTTCTAGGCAGGGAAATGAGTACCGAGTTCGCCAGATCAAATGTGTGGGTGGTGGCACACACCTTTAATCCCAGCACACAGGAGGCAGAGGCAGGAGGATCTCTGTGAGTTCAAGGCCAGCCTGGTCTACAGAGCGAGTTCCAGGACAGTTGGGGGCTACACAGAGAAACCCTGTCTTGAAAACAAAACAAAGCAACAACAACTAAAGTGTGGGAAGAAACTATTACTGGGGCTGGAGAGATGGCTAAGTAGTTAAGAGCACTGGCTTATCTTCCAGAGGACCTAGATTCAATTCCCAGAACCTACAGAGCAGTTTGCAATCCATCTGCAACTCTAGTTCTAGGGAATAAGACACCCTCTTCTGGCCTCAGGACACACAAGTGGTGTACTGACATACATACAGACAAAATTTTTATATACATAAAATAAAACCAAATAAAACTGTAAGGAGATATGATTGAGTAGATTAACCAATCTTTAAAAGAAAGAAAGAAGCTATTGCTATGGCCATTCTGTAGTTGAGACAATGAAAGGCTCAATCATAGCTATTAGCTGCAGAGCTAGTACGGTGCCCTGTTGAGGTGAGCCTCTTCTTTCCTATGCCTGTATTCCCCTGACAATAGATTCCTGGAGGCCTGCGTTCAGATCCTGACATTTGAGCTTGGCTTTGAAAGAGGGGTGGGATTTGAAGAAATCCTTGGGTTCTTGCATTGGGCTTTTGAAGGGAGGCTCTGGAATCAGGCTAATGGAGTTTGCCTCCTGGCTCTGTGATCTCAGGCAAATTTCTTAACTTCTCTGGGCCTTCCTTTCCTTGTAAAAATGTAGAAAACAAACACTTCCTAGGGCATCATGAAGCAATAGAATGTGTTCAGTGTTTAGACTAGTCCTGGGAATGTTGACAAAGCCTTAATACAATGGTTATTATTACTGCTAGACATCCCCGATATGGTAGGTAAGCCAATTTTAGCTAACAAAAAAACAATTTTTTTTCTTTGGTTTTTCGAGACAGTAATTCTGAGTTTATTTTCAGTCTGTGGTTTCTCTAATGTTATCGCTTAAGGCAAGGATACATAAAAAAGGGAATCAATTTAAAGTTAATTTAGAGAAACAGTTAATAAAATAAAAGTCAATTAAAATCTAAAATACAGGACCAATGTGAATATGGGAGACAATCGTGATAGCTGCAATTTTTGTGAACATATTGACGTGACTTGTCCCCTCCCACAAATAAAATGTTCAGGTGGTACAGCATCAGAGATCCGGAGGCTCGGAAAGGGAGGCCGACTCAAAAGCCAGCTAGCTCCTCCAGGGCCTTTTGTGGGGTTTTTGGCCCCTTTTTTTTTTTTTTTTTTTTTTTTGGATCACTGGGTCAGTCAGCCAATGCCTCCGAAGTCTAATTCAGCTCAGATCGCAGGCGCGAGCTGCCAAAGGTCTCTGCGCCTCTGGCTCCGCCCCCATCCCCGCCCCGCACATCTGGAGAAAAGCTTCCCGCCGCGGGGCGGGGCAAGGCGCAGCCTGCGCATGCGCTTCGGCCGAGCTTGTGTGCCGCACCGCAGGCCTCCACTCCCTGAACCCGCGTTGCAAACTGTTGCATCAGACAGCAAGCCGCGGCCGAGCCGCCAAGGTTTCTAGGAAGATAACGAGATTTTGAGCTCCTCCTTGGTGGCTTAGGCGCGTTGTTTGTCCCTCCCTGTGTATACATGCCGGCAACCCAAGCCCTGAAATCTCAAAGCTTGCGGATCCGGGTGATATCCAAGGGACTCTTACTCCTGCCCCCATCCACGGCTGGCCGCAGGCAGGACCCGCTGAACTGTATTGGGTTTACTTTCTTAACGGCAAGGACCCTGAGGGAAGGAGCTGGGTTTGATTTCTCTTTCCGAGTACAAGAATGTCCCTGAGGAATTTCACACTCTGTGAAAGTGCAAAACTCATTTCCCCAGATTAAGCGCTGCAGACGGTTCCCCAAAGGGCTTGGCAAGCTCCCAGCAGGAATGCGCTGGGAGAGTTTCCAGCTCTGTACCCCGAGCAGCTGAACGTGCAGACGACCCTGAGCTGGAAAGGAGGTCCCCTGGCCACTCTGCACGTCTCTGCAGGAAGACATAGTCCTTCCCAGATAGTTTTACCTTTGGCATATCGCAGGCCCCAGTGTGATGGAGATTTGGGGCCTCAGAGAATGCAGAACCATACACTCGCGCATAGGCGGCGCCTACATAGTTTCCTTGACTCAAATGGCTCAAACGTTCCTGACTGCAGAAAAAGTGCCTCTCGTTTCTCCCTCACTCTTTCAGGTTCTAGTCCCGCTGCCTTCCTCAAAGGGAAGGAAATGATGATACATCTAGAAGGGTGGGGGAATGGAATGTTAAGAACACTAGGGGGTCTGGGAATGTGGCTCAGTAGGTGAGTGCTTGCCTAGCGCTCAGCATCCCCGGTTGCCAATCCTAGAACATACTGAGAGTACCGATTAGGAATTTTCAAGGACGGTCTGAGTCTTACCTCCAATTCTTTTCATCTTTAAAAATAGGTCAAGGCCAAGATCATTCAATGTTGATAGATTTTCCAGAAAAAAAAAAAAACCTATCGTTTTACCTGAAGTATTCTGTCTTTTTAAGGGCGTGGGTGGTGAAAGTGTATTTTGATTGAATAATCTTGAGAGTTAACAAAAGCCCAGTGTTCTCCCTTCCCCTGATTGATTATTGTGACTCACTTAATTCCAAGATGCAATTTTTAAAAATGACTGAAAGCCTGGTAAGCTTTATCCAATGTGTCCCAACAGCCGATGCTGTTTAAAGCAGCGTTTTCCTGTCAGCAGTGGAATACTGTGTCAGTTTGGGATTTTCATTGTAATACACGTGCTTCATAAATACGGCCCGATTTGTTTCAGGCTGAGTAGCAACACTCTTATGAGCCAAAGGAATGGGAGTCACAAGGCACAGGAGAAGCAAGCTTTAATATCCTGGAGCCAGGCAGGAAAGCTGGAGCCTTGGGCTCACGCTGGGGTCTTTGCTGTACCGGGAGCATCACTATGTTGCAGGTTGTCATCACTTATGGAGGGACTACTCTGACAGAAACCCGGAAGGACAACGAAGCCCACTATTTTGCAGGAGGCAGCTGAGGACAACCTGAGGCAGCTGAGGCCTCCTGTGTTGGATGAAGAGGGCTAATTCTTCTGGCTTAAAGACATAGTGCAATAGGGACAGCTATTCAGTGACAAGTTTCATGAGATCCTTTCTGCACTGTTCTCCCTGTCTGGAAAAGCCACCAGCTGGTAATGCTATAGTCAAGCAGTCATTCTACATAGCCACACCTAGTGATGTGATCATTGGTAGCCTCACCTGGTTTGAATTTCCAAAACACACTTCTGGAAAAGTAAGGGGACTGAGTTACAGATCCAGGGTGTAGGAAAAATCCCCCTGAAAACTGTATCTTAGACCCCGGTGGCCAGAGATGCAGGCGTAGTAGAAAAGCATGATTTGGTCTTTTCATGGGAGCCCAGCCCAGACCCAGACGAAGCTCCTGTTCTAAGGGCCATGATTGAAATTCCTCGTGGAAAGTCTGTCTTTGAGACACCAAGACACCTCATTTAATTCCCATTTCCTTTTTAAGTCAGGTCCCTCCTTCCTGAGAACCACATTTAAAGTTGCTAGCTGGCTTTCCTTCTGTTTTTGCTATTTGTGTGCCAACTTCAAGGGTGGGGAGAGCCACGTTAATTTAAAAATATAGCACAAATAGCAAAACGAGGCTTGATTTAAGGTAAAAACCACAGAAAGGGTTTTCCCCTTCCCTTCTGTGTTTTTCAGACTTTCCTAGATCCACTATTAATTCTTCAGAGCCCAGACATAGAAAGTGATTGAGGCACACTGGATGCTCTTCCAGACTAAAACAAAAAGCCTCCAGTGGACTCTCTCATTGCCCCTTCAGACTTTATTTTAAAGAGGGCTTAAGAAAGCTGGCCAAACTCCATTCATGGTAGGATCTTGCTAAGCACCCTAGATTTGGTGTTATAAACTACCCTTTTGGATCAGTTGTCCACTTGGGCATCTTGGTTTTGGGAATGTGGCTTTAAGAGTAGAGTTCCTAGATCAAATCCTGGCCTCATTATTTATTAGTTTTCTGACTTTACATCAATGGGAATCATGATTCACAATGTTCAGTCCATAGTGAGTCAAGGTCTAAAAAGAGCCTGGAGCAAAAGGAGCGACCAATAGGCGGTGGCTATTATGAAAATAGACCGTTTCATCTGTCGGCTCCCTCTTTAGTCTCCATTTCCGGTTTTGGAAAGGAAAGAAAATTCGTTATCTATTTCAAGTGGAGGATCTACCTCCATTTTAAATCACTCAGGGACTCACCAGAAGGGGAGGCCAGACCGCACTGAATTTGCAATACCCAGGCCTTTAAACCGAATGGAAGCCCCATTCTTGCCACTTAACAGAACACGGGCGAGCAGATTGGGACTTGGGAAGCCTCGAAGGGATAGCAATTGCTCAGTCTAAAGACACAGGTCTAAGATACGTGGGTGGGGGAATTCACCTGAAGAAGGAAAGCCTCTGCAAGTGTCTGTAGGCAGAGCTGACAGTAGTGAAACTCCATGCGCGTGCGGCAGCGCCCTCTGCCGGCCTCGGGGAGGGCAAATCTGGAGCCTGGCCCCACGGCTGGTCAAATGGGACTCCGGATCCTTTCTGCTGCCTCCGCCCCCGCTCCGTCCCTTCCCGTGATCGCGCAGCCTGGTCTGGGACTGGATTCCAGGAGAGGCGTCCCCATCCTACGCCTGAAGGCAGAGCAAGGACGCTGCTCTAAAACACCCGGTTCATCAGCAGAGCGGAGGCTGCAGGAACCTACCCAAACCCACCTGGGGCTGCTTTTGCCTCCCGGAAACCCGGGCAGAAGCCTGCGGGGCGGTCGGAGGTGGTTTGGAAGTGGCATCGCCTATGGCCAAGACCGAGGGTTCTGCGGACAGAGAGGAGCCCTGGGTTCGCTTTCTGCCTCATCCAGCTAGGTGACCTTGGGCAAGGTACTTAAATTTCCATGTGCCTTGTTTTCCTCATCAATAAGATGGAGAGAACGCTCCCGACCTTAACGGGTTGGCTTGAGGATTACAAGAGAACAGACAGCCTAGGTTGGGATTCTGGCATTGACACCAGCTAGCTGTGTGCCCTGGGGCAGGCTACTTAACCTCTCTGCCCTGGTTTCCTGCAAAATGGGGATCACAACGGTGCTTACCTCCGAGGGTTGTTGCCTGCAAAGCGCTTAACACTGCCTTGGCAGAGTAAGCGCTCAATAAACTGTGGCTATTATGGCTGTTGTCGTCATTATTGTCCTTAAGAGTGCTGAGCACAGAAGCAGAGATTTAGCTGGCTGGTTATTATTAGTCTGTTTCTTGCGTCTGGCTATTTCTTTCCTGGCATTATTAAAAATACTTATTATTATTATTTTATATATAAGCTATTAGCTTGCGTCCTTATCAGTACCTGAAGAACTAAGAGCCTTCCCGAATTAGCAGAATCTAGGTTCTCCGGGAGGAGGGCCAAGGATGTGGTGGTGGGTTTCAAGGACTCGGACCTGCCCTGCCGGGAGGAAGCCCGCGCCTGGGTTAGCGCGCGTCAGAGCCTCGGTGACGTCGCCAGGCCCTCGGGCTCCGGAGGCGCGGCCTGCGCTCGCCCGGCGCCTGCGGTAGCGGGCATGGTCGGGAGGTACCCAGAGCCGAATTCTAGCTGCTCTGGTGCCCTACTCTCCGAGGTGCTAAGGAAGAGCCTGCCTGGGTCAGCGGCCCCGCGCCTGCCGCTGCGGGGCGCACCCGGGGCTCCGTCTATAGTCTACCGAGAGGCTGGAGGTGCCAACCCCTGCTTGGGTGTCCCGGCCCCGCCCAGCCTGGCGCACTGCTAGCCTCCTGGAGGCTGCTCTGCATCCTCCCTATCCCAGTCCTTCATCCTCCAGAAACCCATTCCTCATCATGCCGCAGGGCCCCAGCTCAGTTTCTGCTCGCTTTGCGCTGAGCTGACCGACTCCTCCTTGGTCTCTGGCGCCTCCCACTCGCCCGCAGCGCCGGGAGCACGCCCCGCAGGTCCACTTAGCTTGCCATGCACGCATCTCCAACTCGCCGCATCTTGTCCCTGTTACTCTCCATCGCAGTGAAGGTGACACCACCCACCCGATCACTCGAAATGCGTACTGGATGCTTTTTCCAGCAGTAGCTACTCCAGCCAAAGCCACTCTGTCTGTGACCTTGTAAAGTACGCTCACTGCGCTGGCTATTAACATGTTTCTCTGTAAGATCTCCCGAGTCTGTCCTCCTGCCTCGTTCAGATCCCTTTTCCTGCAGGCCGCGAGCTTCCTACACTCCAGTCAGCCCAAGCCTTGCAGCTTCTGCAGGGAGGCCTGAAGCTTCAGGCCCTCCCTATTTTCCTGGGCGCCCAGGTCTGCCATTTTCTAACACCTCATAAGCCAGTCCCAGTTTAGAGCCTGCCTGGGTAGAGCTATTTAAGGAGTTCAGTACTTACTCTACCTCCGGTCACCTTCTCCTTATTCTCCTGAACTCAGGAGTCTCCCCTTCAAGAGGGTCCGCTCCTCCTGCTCCTGTTGCGGCTATGTGAAATGTTTTTGGGCCACGATTTTGTCAAGGAGACAATCGACCTTTCTAGGTGGCCAAATGTCTGTTCCCCGCCCCCACTCCACTCCCTTCTTCCCAGAGCTTGAGTCTTTCACACGGAATCCCTTTCCACTCCCCCCCCCCCACATCTCCTAAGGAACCCCCCCACACACACACCAGCCTTCTCCCCACCCCACCCCAACCTTGACTCAATCAAATACTTCATTGATAAGTCAAAGGCCAATTTAAGGAAAAACCTAAAGCTTACAAAAAGTACATTTATAAAAAGCTTACAAAAACTGCTTGTTTATATCACATGTTTCTTTTTTTCCTTTGTTAAAACTTAACATTTCCCCTATTCAATCCAGAGTTTCTTAAAAGCAGACAAACCCTTTGGATTTGGATGGAGTCCTCTGAACCAATTTCTGTGCCTTCCTAACAGAGTCACGTAGTGCTTTGAGGCTTCATTCCCATACATACTTTTGTGTTTTTACTCCGTATCATGGTGCCGGTAGACTGATCATATAATTCTGTAACATGCTTTTTTTTTTTTTTTTTCCTTCGGCTAGGCAGCATGAACCCACATTAATGCATGTATTTCTGGGTCTTAGCTTTTCACTGCTGATGAGGGGTCCATTTTGTGAATTCAGCACACTTTATTTTCCAGCCTCCTTTTGGAAGATATTTAGCTAGTTTTCACTTTACTTTTCTGTTAGAAACAATGTTATAATAGCTTCTTAAAAGATACCATTCCGTGGAGTGAAAGCAGACTTGGGGTAGATACTTGGATGTGGAGTTGCTGGGCTCAGGACATGGAAACTGGCAGCGTTGTTGGGTTGGGCATGGCTCAATGGGTTTTCACAGTGGTTGTACTAATTCACAGTTCCATGTGTTCTGTGAGCATTCCCCTATGTTCCACATCCTCAACACTTGCTAATGTCAAACCTTAAAGTTGTTGCCAAGCCGATGGGTGTGAAATGGCATTTCAATGTTTTAATTTGCAATTCCCTGTTTACAAGTGAGAGAGACAGGAGCATACTTTCTGTTTATTGGCCATTTGCCTTTCTTCTTCTTCTTCTTTGTCTTCTTTTTCTTCTTCTTCTTCATTGGCCATTTGTTTATTTGACAGCACATGTATTGTTCATATCTTATTATGTGTAGGAGTTCTTTATATATTCTGGGTACTAATCCTTTGTCAGTCTGTGGACCATCTGGTGTCTTATTCCACTCAATCGCAATTTTAAATTGATGTGATTATTTGATAAATGTCTGATTCTCCTATTAGACAATAAGTCCATGAGAAGAGGGACTGTCCCTTGTAATAAGTACAATTTTAATACATACTGGCAACTCAATAAATACTTTTGACTGAAATTTGTTGATAACTGACATCATTATTATTATTAATATTATTTATGTGTTATCTTTCCTTCTTCTGGCTTTTCCCCTCAGATGCTTGAGAGTAGAAATCTGCTGCTATTTTATTTCTTTGTGTCCCCAATGCCCACCGACACACAGTGCTTTGATCACAGAGCATGCATCCAATGGTTTTTAAGTTCCTTCATGGTTTTCTTTCTATTTTTCCCCTTCATTCTTCTCGGGTCATCTTCCATCTCTGAGCCCAGCTATAGCTCTGCAAAAGGAATAAATAATAAATATCTCATGTGTATTTGTGATAATTATATGAAATATGCAAAAATGAAATATTAACATGTAGCTGTCAATAAATGGTGACAATCATTTTGGTCACTAAAGATACACTGTCATTAGTTTTAATGGAAAGTTTTTTCAGAGACAGAATAAAAGTGATCCTGCTAAAGATGTGGTGACCGAGTTTTTTCCCTTTTTTCTTTTTCTTTCCTTTTGTTGGCATTTGACCCACAATGAAGGCTTGGTTCCAATGTGAACTCTAAAAAGCATCAAATATCATTCTTCTGCCTTTCTTTTCTAAATTCCAGGTAAATCAAAGCATGTGAACTGTACATTGAAGCCCAGCCTTTAAGAGGAAACATAAAGGCCAGTCCTACATCTTTGGCCAGAAGTCAGAGAGCAGAAAGGAGGCCTGTCAGCAACGCCGGAGTCAGTTTCAGGCAGCTGTAGCTTGGACAAAGCAAAATTCTTACATCTGTTTCCCACATCTGCATTAATGGCATGACCTTTGATCTATTTATAAATGAAGAAAATATCTCTTGCTTTTTATGGAGCAAGGATTTTATGGTTAAAATTCATTAATTACTCATTGAAAAGTCTTTGGGATCCTTGACATGAAAGGCATTTATTTAAACAGAGCTTCTCAAAGGTAAATGGCCTTGCAGTAACATCCGTCCCCACAGATGTAGCATGTGTGCTTTTTTTTTTTGCCTAGAATAGTGGATCTAGCCTCCTACAACATAACACCACCAGTTGTAAGCCACCTCCAGACCAGGTGAGCTCAAGCAGTTGGCTAACTCCCTTTGCCTATAGTCTGAAGCTTGCATGAATGACCAGTTTCTGGGCAGCCGTATTTGATGGTGATAAACTTCCTAGGAGGCCTGTTATTTCAGAGCTTCATCCCTGGACGAGGAAAGCTGGTGTCTATACTGAGCTCACTTCGATAAGAGCCCTCCAGAGTGAGCTGTTAGCCATGAGGAGTCCTGGGATAGGTTTCCAGAAAGGCCTGGGACATGTGTCTGGAGAAGGTGAACTGGACTCAAGAAGCCCCTGTGGAAGTTGAGCTTTTCCTCACACAGCCATGAAAGGGACCCAAAGAGCACGAGCACAGACACACTGCAGGGCCATCTCTTGTGGCAGCATGTGACTTTGTCCCTCCTGTACTGGAAGGGAGCAGCAGCAATGTAGTGTGTACTGACTGAGCAGAGAGCCGTCTAGTCAAATCTCACTGCTAAAACCCCAAATCACTAAACCTCTCAGCCTCAGGGCCTCAGCTGTGGGTCAGGATAAGACACCAATCTGTCAGGGTTACCGGGGACCTCATGGTCAGTGTTTATAAGCTCAAAACTCTGTTAAGACTGAGCACATTTTGCTTCCTTTAATTAAATTAAATTTTTTATATTTATTTATTTATTTATTTATTTATTTATTTATTTATTTTTTGTGGTTCTAGGGCTTGACCCAGGATCTTGAACTTGATAGATAAGCATTGTGCTGCTAAGCTCCACTGCCAGCCCTTTTTCCTCTCTTTACTTTTCACTTAGTTTTTAAACACAGGGTCTCACTGCTGGCTTCCAACATGCACATGCAGAGGCCAGCACACACACACACACACACACACACACACACACACACACACACTAAAAAAAAGAAAAAGAAATGAAAAGAGAGGATAAAGCAAAGAAAGAGAAAGAAAAAAAATAAAACTTGACCCTTAATTTTTTTGGGGGGGGTAAGATTTTGAGACAAGGTATCTCTGTGTAGTTTTGGAGCATCCTAGAACTCATATAGACCAGGCAGGCCTGGAACTCTCAGAGATCCTCCTGCCTCTGCCTCCTGAGTGCTGGGATTAAAGGCACGCACAAAATCTCAACAATATCACACACTATTCAGGGACTGGGGTGCACTTTGCATTTGATGGTGTCTGAGAAGCACACTAGGGAGTCACAAGGGAATGTTTGTCTCTCTTGCTGTTGTGTGTTGGGTTTGAAAGGTGAGGTGAAAGGCCAGGTACAGACTCAGTGTTGATATGTAGAGGCTGCTGTCACTCCACAGGGA